TTGTAACTCATATATATGAGTATATATATATATATATATATATATATATCTATCTCTGCTAAACCTTAAATATATATGCTAAACCTTAAATAACATTAGAGTAGCACAAAAGCAATGAAAATTCCTGCTGAAACCTGCAACTTGCAACTCAAAAAATTCACTGTAGGCAAATACAGGAGAATTAAAAACAGAGTCATACTGGATTTATGTCAGGAAAATTTGTTTTCATCTTGATTGCTGCCATATGCCATATATGATAACTGAAAACTCCCCCTGTCCCCAGTGGTCCTCTGGAGGGGTCTGACTCCATATCCTAAGTGCTACAGATGTTACTCTTAAGCTCAACAGCCCTTCAGCCTACTTGCATTTACAAGACTGTATTTTTTGGACATGGCTTCCAGTAGCAGATTTTGGTACCAGAGCAAAGGAAGCCGTCTTTCCCTTTCTCCCCTAGAGTGTGTCATACTAGCACCTTGCCCATACATCACCCCATGGTGTGGGTGAGGTTGCCACAGCAACATCACACACTCAGTCACACACCCTATAGCTACAGAAGTGTGTCAGTTTGAAAGTTTTACTAGGTTCTGGGATGTGGTGCCCAGCCATCTGCAGTTACTCGTCCATCCAGTGCTCACAAACCTGCTAGTAACCCTTAATGGGGTTGCTTTTGGTATTTTCACCTCCGTCCTTTGGGATGAAATCTTCGCAGGTCGGTCTGGGCAGTCAGTCACCTGCCCAACTGGCAGAGCAGAAACCAGCTGGTTCATTAGCCATCCCATAGACATGCCAGGCAGTTGGGCAATAATTAAATTGATACTTACTTTTCAAAGAATGTGTAGAGCTGCAGTAGTGAGTAACTGCAGAATAAAACTGGAATTAACTATAGTGCATCGTAAAACCTGATTTTCTTTCTGTTGAAGCAGTGTGATAAGTTTTCACTAATACCTAACTTACAACTCTGCTCATTTTTTCAGACATGGAGATGACTTGATTGTGACACCATTTGCTCAGGTAGGCACAATTTTGCCATATTTCTTACACAGTCTTGCAATTTAAAGGCTAAATGTCCAAACCATCTGTTTTCCGTCATTTATAAGATATATTTGCTTGAAATAGGAAAAAACTGTTTGAACAGAAAATCATAAACTTCTCACTCTTGTTATCTATACCTCAATGCTTTTTTATTATCTGAAAAGTTGAAGTGCAACAGCACGATAAACACCTTTGACTGATCTCTTCAAATATCATAGCAGACAGTCATGATAAAGATAAAGACAAATCTGTGCTGTTACTCTCCTGCTTTTTACAATTACTATTTCTCTTTTTGAACATCTTTGATTCATTCAGTACAGGGTAATTTTTAGATATGAGGTGAGTTTTACCCAGAATACTGACATTCCTTTATATAAGCATCCCTATTTGTTTGTTTTTTTCCATCCAGTTTCTGTTTTATAAAATACCAGTTCAAAATTCTATATCATTTAGATCTCCACAATTTAGAAACTCCACAATTTTTAGCAGTAGAACTGACTTACCATGTATGAAGAGTTAACATTGATACACCTTAAACTCAGGATGATAGGTTTTACCCTGTAATAGATAGGAATGAAAGTTAATTTGGTGCAAGTACAGGAGGAAAAAAAAAAATCTGGCAGTCATATGTGAATAAAGGTAAATGGAAAGAGAAAGACTGTGTCACACAGCAGTCTAAAATAAAAATAAGGTGTCCAACTTCAGTATGAATATGCAGGTTGCTTTGGTCTAATAAGCTGTTAAAACAATTATTATTAATTTAATAAGTTATGATACTTTAAATTATATTGTAAAAGGATACGGTGTTTGTAAGACTCCCTCATCAAGTCCTTAGTATGAAGAATACCATCATCTTTTCTTAGCAGAGAAAAAATTAAGCCAGGGCTTTTTCTAAGAATACTTTAAGATCTCTCGAATGCTAAATATACTTCAACAATAATGGGAGAGTAGAAATTACTAAAAAAAACAAAGGAAAAAAAAAAACAGTAAAACCACTTCTGGTTTTAGTTCCTCGGGAAAAATAAAAAACCCTAACTCTTGAGCGCAGTAGAAATAGAAATTGTATGGTGGTCAGGCAATCCAATAATATTTACTATAGCTGAGTTCATGTTCACTGACATCTGAATTTTTATTACAAATTATGCCACAGATATAAGTCAATTCAGTATGCCTGGAAAACCAGCAAATATTACACCCCATTTACAGATTTTTATTTTTTTTTTCCTGGTTCAAAACACCCTATTTGTTTAAAGGGCAGTTTTGGGTTCTTGTTGTTGCTGATCAATGTGCTTCAGCAATTAAAGGAGGAGCAGTTGAATGTTATTGCTACTTGCATCAAGGTGCTGTAATTGATTATTTGAGAGCTTTTAGTATTTCAGTGCAAACCCTGTTAAATCAACCTGTTTTCATCTGCATTGAACAGAAGAAAGAGCACTCACATGGTGAGTTTTCACATATCACATTCCCTGACACAGGGGGAATTGAGATGCAGTGGAGCGAGTGTGCCTAATAGAGGAGAAGTGACATTTGATTAGACTCTTAGGAAAAATGTAGCCCTTATCTAAAAATGATTAGAATATGCAAAATCCCATCTCCCAGTGTAGCCTCCTCACAGACTGTATCTGCAACTATGCACAAGGCCGGTGCCTCTGAGTTATGTTACCAGTATTAGGACCTCACTCAGGACTTCAGAAATTAGATCCAATGATCCAGCACATTGTCTGTGCATCATACAGACTGCCCTTTTAATATCTTCCTACAGCAATATTTCATCATGTAGATGCATTTTTTCTGTTGCAAACAACAAAAGCACTGTTTTAGTCCATTCGGGGCTTCCTAGTGGCAGTAGATCATGGCATGTGGAACACGTTCCAGTTATTTCAAACCATTTGTATATTCTTCAGTTGATCAGGAGGTTTGTTTATCTCATCATGAGCCACCTGGTAGTAATAGTTCCAATTTCGGCACTTCAGTTTCTATTCAGCACATCACCATGGTAGTGTGGCTGCATTTGTTAACTGGGGGCAGGGTGGCATGCTGTGTCCCCCACATAGAATCTGTCCCCAAGACAAAATAATTTACTGTTTTTACCAGAATGGAATTTTGTAAGCAAAAATTAAAAAATATATCATAAGTATATTGTTAGTTGCACTTCCCTATAATACAAAGCAATTGCTGTAATTTTTCTTAGAATTACACTTTTCAAAATAAAATAATTTGAAATGTAACAACAAACTCTGTAGGGTTTCTATAATTAAAAAAAAAAATTTTGTAATTAACTTGCAACTGTTCGTATGTAACATGATTTTGAAAATAATATTCTTTACTTAGCAATTAAACCTGAAGAGGTTTGCAGGTGACTGGTTTATCTCTTAAATCTTACTCTAGAAACCCTAAGCACAAGTGGAACCTCTGTGGACAGAGAAACTGTCACTTAAACCAAATTATAATGAAAAACTGAAATACTATTTTATGTAATTATAATAGATTTATAAATATTAATAGCTTTATACAATAAATCAAGTTGTTTAGCTCCAGTGTAGCCAATGGCCAGAGTTTTTGTTGTCACTTTTACACTCATTTCTATGTACGTGGGGATGCCTTGCACTTGCAGAAACTGTTGAAATACGTGCATGTATGCTAAAGCAGCTGTGATGCTTGTCAGGTACTAGACATTTCACTCCTGGACCTATAAAACAGTTATGTCACCTCCCAGATGAACAAATAAAGGACATCATACAAACCACTCAAGTCTGCTTTCTGAAAAAGGGGGGATTCATACTATTTCAGATAGTGGAAGAATCTGATCAATGTGTATAGTGGTGAGCACAGTAGAGAGACTCCGTCACAGTTCATCAGGGACCTGATTGTGGGTCCAGCAAGACTCATCAGCCTCCCCTCGTAACTGGTCCTGAACAACCTCACAACTTGCACACTTCTTTCCCCAGCACCCCTGGTGCTAAATGTCAAGTTATTTCAGATGCAACACGTACCTCAGCGAGGTTCATGTTTTCACGTGGCATCATGTCTAGCCTACTAGACTTTCTGAAACTCAGCCTCATACAGCAGGTACAGAGTCATTAGTAGCAGTCCAGCAGAGCCAGAGAAAATAAGCATGATGTACCTGAGATCACTCACCGAGGAGTCACTTAGCTACCTTCATACATGCTCCCAGTTCTCAGTGCACCTGACTATATGTCCAGTTTAAGTCCAGCAGGGCTTACTGAGTAGGAACTTGCAGCCAGGAAAACCAACCATTTTTTCATGGCCTGAGACAGCTCTGTGTATTTTTCTCTGATAATGCTAGCACATAGAAGCTGCCTCAGCATCCTGGCACACATAAAGTGAACCCAAACCCAGGAAGATTGACCAGATTGGACTGCAAATGGGCTGCAGTCACTAAAATGTTGCCTTAACTAACATTTTTCAGTTTGTGCTTTCCTTCTCCTTTCATCTTTAACACTTCGTTTCCTTTTACAATATTTTCATACTTATGCAGTTTTTCTTTATGTATACATTTTTTAACTTCTGAATGCCAAGATCTTCTTTCCCCTTCTGCTCAGTTCATGCCTATTTTCCATCTGTGTATATCCAACATCTAAATACAATATTTGTTAGTTTCACTGTACCCTGGGCATGCAAATTTGATGTCATATATAATTATTTTTATTCCATGCTGAATGCAAAATACGTGCGTTTGCCTCATGATCTTTGGAAATTAAAACCTAATTAAATTAATCTCATCTAATAAGGCAACAATTTTTTTTAATTATTATTATTTTTATAATCTTAACTTGTTTAGGAATTATCTGCAATAGCTTGAACACTCCAGGTCATTATTATCTCCTGAATATTTTCTGTTACAAGCTTTCACTAAATCCTCCTTTTCTCTCCAGCCTCCTACCTGCTTCCTACCCTCATGTATAAACTTAAGGGACTATGAAGAGAGGGCTGTTTCCTCTGCAACTCAGACCTCTAGAACCCAAATTCCCATTCCCACCTTTATTGTAAATTATTTATTGTAAATTCCCATTTACAGGTTCAATAGGGAACCAGCCCAATCTGGGCTGAGAAACAACCATGGGCAACTCCTGCAAAGATACACCAGTGATGTGTTGCTGCTTTCTCCCATTCCTAGTCTGGTTCAAAAAACCTCATGGTTTCTCTCTGACATAGCTGAACTGCCTCCCCCTAGTTGGAGAGGTGTATCTTATTATCCTTACATGGTACAGTATTTGTTGTATTTATCCAGCTGCCTTCAGGAGTGCCTATTTCACTTATAAGAAAACACACCTCTACTGCCTCCGCTAACTGCTGTCTTGCATGAAATTAAGTCCAGAAAGGAAGCAGTTCATTTATGTTGTCTTTCCCAATGTGCAAATCTTGTAAGAACCTGCAGACATTTCCCACCTGCTTAGGTGATACCTTCCTCTTACTCTGACCTTCTGCACTCAGTCCCTAAGTTAACTGCACCCCTTAGAGGACCCACTTTTATCTTTCCTGGCAGTCTAGACAATCTCTTTCCCTTTGTCCTTTGAGGTTTGTGGGGTCAACTGCAAATAGAAGATTCTGTAATCATTTCTCATGCATGAAGTATGAAACTTGAATAGGCTATTATTTTCCAAACTTAAATGCTTTTACAGTCATTTTAAAGAACTAAGTAGTATTCTGTGAAAAACGTTCCTCCTCTTCAAGTAAGTCTGCCTTTAAACAAATAATGAGTTGTTTATGAGGAAAACAAAAAAACAAAAAACTTTTGCCCTTGTATTACAGACACATTATTGTTAAATAATGGTCAAAGGCTTCAAACAAACCAACCCTGGAAACCTTTTACAATTGTTTTGCAATGTCCTTTACTTTTTCTTTCAGCACAGTGGAATGGAGATAAACAGTCTCACCTGTGCAGAAATTTAGACTGAAACCATTTTGTCTGTTCCAGGTGCTGGCCAGCCTGCGTACTGTACGGAATAACTTTGCTGCATTAACCAATTTACAAGATCGGGCACCCAGCAAGTGAGTGTTAATTTTTAGCCACTGAACTTTTTGCAATGATACTTTTTAAATGTGAACTAAGAATAACAATTAGATGTTACAGATTTCAGTCTGTGCCAACAAACCTGCATAAAATATGGGGATGAGTAATGAGTTTATTAATCCCCTGAAGATGCTATACTTGATAGCTGAGACAACAGCCCCCTTGACTACTGCTTGCTCTTGCATTGCTGTCCTTGCATAAACTTGGAGTGGTTTTGTGTAATTTATATGATTTTTCAATAGATTAGTCATATGTCAAAGATCATTCAATGATGATTATTCAGGCAGAGTCTGAGTCTTCCAAATGAACCAAAGTGAGAAGACAGCTACACTCATTGTGAACTACTCACATGATCTGAACCTAGAACTCTGTCTAACTCATCCAAGATAATGACACGCCACTTATCCACAGTAGTTCATGATTATAAATGAGACATTTTATAATCTTGCTTCAGTTGTGTTACAGTGTCATAGGTAGCATTAACGTTAGTTACACTGGCAAATTCTGCAGTGGAGTCATTTCCCTCACCCAAAATGTGTGTCTCTCGAACTTAGAAATAATTAGCATTCCAAAGACAGCTGCCTACTGTTGCATATACAGTGCCACTAAAAGATATTTCTAGCCCCTTTGGTTGGAATATGCAGACCTTACGTGGCCCTTGTTTGCAGTCATCCACAAATCCCAACACAGCTCTGTCAATCCAGCAACTTCTAGCTTTCTTCAGTGGGCACAGCAGTCCACTGAGATTATTGTGAAAGGTATACTCACAATAATGTGTGGAATGTGTATACAAAATAATAGAGTGAAAAATACTTTTTTTAAAAAAGTATTTCAAGTGAGAGAATGTGGGAAGTGCACATTAGAGCAATGTTAGAGTATGTTAGAGTAATGATAACTATGTATACAAATCAAACTTCAAGCTAGGTATGAATAGGCAGGTTTTTAATGAACTAGTAGATTCCTAAAATATGCCTATCTTGGAATCTGCAGTGAGTTTTCAGGGCCAGTTGTGAATTCCCTTCTACACTAGAAAGAAATATCTGTTCTAAACAAACTTTTTCTTTGGCAATGCCAACATATTCCATTCTCAAATAATTTCCCAAGGAAATATATTTTGTGTTACATTTTTCAAGGATTCAGTCATCTGTGAGTTTATCGGGCTTATACTTTTTTCCTTTTCTTTTGAACAGACGATCACCAATGTGTAACCAACCATCTATTAACAAAGCAACTATAACAGGTAAAAAGAGTTAATATGACTAAAATTCCTCTGTGAAATCATCATGGGTTTCTAAATTTAATATTTATTTATAAAAAATTCTCATTGAAAACTGCATTAATAACCTTATATTGTTTGCTATCCTTATATCTCTTTTCTTAAAGAAGCTTTGATTCGTGTGATGACTGAAATTGGTGAATTTTGGTGTTGTATCATGTTAGCATTCTGATTTCTGTCTTATTCTGGTTTTAATTTCTTCACATTTTTTTTTCCTTAGATGCTAGTGTGTGACGTTGTCATGATTAACTTCATTAGTAACTTTTTTGCAACGACATGTAGTAGAAAGAATTGGTATGAGGAATACATCAATCTTTCATTTGGGACATGGAGTTCTATAGCTATACCAAGGCAAAGTCTTTGCATTACAAGCCCTTAAGCAATGAGGAAAAATTTTCAAAACTGACTTTTCTGATTTAGGACGGTAAAATCTTTCTCAATAATAATTGTATGTGCATCAGAGAAAAATAATTCCTTTGTAAAAGACACTATGAATTCTAAAGAAACATTAACTTGAAAACAAGACTGGCATTGTAAGTTACATGACACTTCTGAAAAATTTACCCTGCAGTACTTTTGGTTATTGCTGTGACAACTTGGTCTTGGACATCTTTATGGGAACACACTTTATTTGATCTTGTATTTTTTACATCACATTAATCCATGTTTTTGTACTGTGTTATTTTCCAGGTAGGTACATTCTCTATGGTGAGTTGTCAGACTGAAAGAGTATCTGCTTTTCCTTTTCAGGAAAGTATACAGACACTTACTAAACAGGAAGTTTATAAGTTAAGCCAAAAACTTAATGATTCCAGATTTTTCAAAATAGCTCTTGTCTTTTTGATTGTATAATAGATTTGTAACTCAAAGAAATGGTACTTCAGATATTTTGAGGAGAAGAGCAGTTTTGTCTTGTTCAATTGTTTCTGTCTTTAGACTGGAATATGTCAACATTGTTAGTTTTTTCACCTAGCCTTGCACAGTATCCACATTACCTCTAAAAGACCCAGTCTTGACAGTTCTATATAATCTCATTCTCCTAGGAAACTTTTATGTAATCTGAGCATTTGTGTGTAGGGCTCATCAGGGAACAGAGGGTTAAATATTTATATCTATTCTATAAAGATAAAAGCATCCTTAGTTAAGTATGTTCAGCAATCATACTTAAATCCATGTTAATTAAATAAATAGGAAGGGGAGACAGATAAATGCTTAGATCAATTATAATCATAATCCTTTTTTAATGTATTCCTTTAAGAAGTAATTTTGGGCATTGGTTTCACATTACTCTCCATGAGACAGTTATTGATAGATTTTACACCTATTTTTAATAGTGGGATTTGTCTCATACAATTCAGTCATCTAAAGCCTCTTATCTTAACTGGAGATAGAGATACTGGAAAATGGGGCTCTTTCTTTGGTTCCAAGGGACTAACTTTAGAAAGCGTCTATAATACAGTAAAATCCCTGACAGTAAAAGAAAATGTGATATCCAGAAGAGAAGATACACATGCATGTGAACACACAGCAAGCCTACCTTACCTGTTCTCCCACAGTTGCTTGCCTGAGATCAGCTTCTTTCCTCCATCAGGAATAGCTGCTCAGAACCAAGACACACTCTGCTGGAAGATGCTGTTACTCTTTTTAAATTACCCCTGATCTGAAGGTTTCCATTCAGTTAACCCTCAGACTGCAGTCTACATGTCGGAAGCAATAAATAATTTGAAGTTTTAATGTTTAGAAGGAAGGTGGTGCAGTCAGTGTTGCAATTAATCTAGAAAATGCTTCTGTGCAAAGGAATTTAAAGGAAGCAAGAGAAGGCAAAGAACAGTAAGGATAATTTAATCTAATTTAGTTTAATCTGATTTCTCAGACATACTGCTGGAATTGCTGTGCCCAAATTATGCATTGAACTGGGTGAGCTAGAGTCTGTGTTCATTGGATGTAAGGGGCTAAAAGACTTTAATGATACAGGAAAGGTATTAAGCCACTGTAAAGCATGAAAATGGTTACAATTACTTTTGACTGTTGAATGGAGATTGAGGCTAGATACTGTTTTGCCTGAATGGCTTTGCCCATTCTTAGTCATAGACTTTTTTTATTATTATTATTATTATTTCCATAGCAGCAGATTTCATGGCATAGGCACAGAACTATGCATAGGTGCTTTCTTGGGACATATAAAATCCTAGTAAAACATGTTGCACCACAGCACTATGCCAAGAAGGAAGATACATTACTGTTCCTCAGGAAAAGATTTAAAACCCTTTCAGATGTTACTAAGCTTTTAGAATTCATCTGGGAATGTTTGAAATGTAGCTTGTGCAGATCTTTCCTGCTGAGAAATCCTCCTGGTCATGCTGTTCTCTGAGGTCATGTCATGGAGTATCCAGAACAATACACCAGACAGGTAGAGCTCCATCACATCATCCAGATGGCTCAGCTAGCAATCTCAGTGAGAACCAATCACCAGTGTAACAAACTAGGTGACTGGAAGACACAGTGTCACTAAACTATGTCAATGCCAAACCAGAAATAGACACTTAAAAATGAAAGTTTAGTTTGCTAATCTTCCTGGAAGAAGTGTCTTTGAGAAGACTCCAGCTGAGGAAAAGGACAATCACAAAAAGCAGAAGTACTGCAGAAGATACGGGGAAAATGACAGAGAAAAAGGGATTTGGTAAATCCGAGTGATTAAGATAGCAAGAGCAAAATTATCCCATTTACTATTTTAAGAATTCACCCTGGGAGAAGATGCATTGGCATGAAAGTAAGAAATTGTGGAACTGAGAAGTAAAGCAACACAGGAATTGAATGTACAGACAGTTGCTAAGGACAGGGGCTCCAAAGAGTAGGATAGTGGCAGGGGACCCTTCTGAAAGCATCAAAAACTCACGGCAAAACAACAAGACGAGAAAACAGAAGCCCAGGGAAGGGGGACAGTCTCGAGTCACCTCCTCCCAAAGTGGGAAGAGTGAGCTGGGAACAAGGGCAGTGTGGACTCAGGGTGGGTGGAGACCAGAGTGACAGCACCCCACACCCCTCACAGACAAAAGCAGCCCCCAGGGAGCGTAGGAACAGGGCAGGCAAACAGGGCACAGCGTGGCAGAAGGCTCTGGCACAGCAGTTCTTGTGGGCAAGTCATGGCACAGTCCATCTGGGTCTAGAACTTATCTGGGTTAGTTTCATCTTATCGTCCTCCATGAGTAGACTGCACCATGGTCTCCCTTCGAATCAATACCACCACCAGAAAGAACATGGTGACCCAGATGGAGCTGCCACACAAACATGCCGTGGGCCAGGTCCCGGGCTGCAGGGAGTACCTGAGCCTGTCCGTCCTGCCGGAGGGCAGCAGCAATAGCACCTGTGTGCGCTGCCATCAGCTGGGTGACCTGCTCAGCCTGGTGCCAGAACTCAGAGATAAGGTTGAAAGATTAAGAAGTATTAGGAGTACAAAAGGAAATTGATTGGTGGAGTAACACCTTGGCACCCATGAAGCAACAGGAGCAAATGGAGGCTCCAAACGAGGCAGGCGATCCCTCATCCTCTTGATACCAGGCAGAAGGAGGGGACCTGAGAGATGGGGGAGATTGGAAACAGATCCCTGCTCAGGGAGGTAGGAAAATCCCCTCCTGACCTCTCTCACCTTCCATGGTGCCACTTCACAACAGATTTGTGGCCCTGGAACTTATGAATGAAGCAGAGAAGGACAAAGAAAATGAGTCAAAAAAGGTGGAAGATGAACAGTCCACCAAGACTGGGTCACCCTAGACCATGTATTAAATCCAATACTAGAAAGAACCCCAGAAGAGTCATTGTAGTGGGTGACTCCATTCTGAGGGGTGTCGAAGGCCCCATATGCAGACTAGACCCACTTCATAGGGAAGTCTGCTGCCTCCCTGGGACCTGGGTGAGGGACCTCATGTCAAAACTCCCCACTCCAGTGAGACCCAAGGCCTACTACCTTCTCTTGGATTTCACGTAGGTAGCAATGATATTACCAGGAGAAGTCCTAAATCAATGAAGACAGATTTCAGGGCCTTGGGGAAACTGGATAAGAGGCTGGGGGAACAAATTATATTCTCCTCCATCTCTTCAGTTGTGGGGATGGATGAAGAAGAATACAAGAGAACTCAACAGATGAACTTGTGGCTCCAAGACTGGTGTTACCCTCAGGGCTCTGGATTTTTCAGTCATGGGTTGGAATACAGGACGCCAGACTTTTTGGCATCAGATGGGATCCACCTGTCCCATAGAGGAAAAAGGATCTTGGGGCAGGAGGTAGCTGGGCTCATTGAGAGAGCTTTCAACTAGACTTGAAGGGGGAAGGGGGCAAAACATCAGCCCATCTGAAGTGCAGGTATACAGTGCACACAGCATGGGTAACAAACAGGAGGAGCTTGTAGCCATGACAAAACAGGAAAATTGTGATGTTGTGGCTATTTCAGAAAGATGGTGGGATGTGTCCCATGACTGGAGTGTGCCAATTGATGGCTACAATCTCTTTAGGAGTGATAGACGAGGAAGGACAGGCAGTGGGGTGGCGCTGTATGTTTGGGACTGTTATGATTGCTTTGAGTACAAGTGTAGTGAAGACAGGGTGGAGTGTCTTTGCGTTAGAATCAGGGGCAAGGCCAACAGGGCAGATGTTGTAGTAGGAGTCTACTGTAGGCCACCTGACCATGACAGAGGGGTGGATGAAATATTCTATAGGTACTTAGGAGAAATCTCATGATCGCTTGCCATTGTTCTCATGGGAGACTTTAGCTTCCCATGTGTCTGGTGGAAATACAACAAAGCAGACCAGGACCAGTCTCAGAGATTCCTGGAATGTGTGGGAGACAAGTTCCTGACACAGCTGGTGAGTGAACAGACCAGAGAAGGTGCCCTGGTGGACCTGCTCTTTATGAACAGAGAAGGACTGGTGGATGATGTGGTGGTTGGAGGCCGACTAGAGCACGGCG